TTTATACACATTTCTATTATTGTAGTCAAATTTGCGAATCAATTGAAAATCAAGTTAACAAACAAACGAAAAAACATATGAGAGACATATTTTAGATATATATACACCAAACAGATATAAATCGGCTAAAGCTTAGTGTTAAACAGTTTATCGAAACTACAGAACACACACTCTATATAAATATAAATATAAAATATTGTTAAAAGCAAATTAGATAACAATAAACGAGTATTGCGTGTACCACTAACTAAATACAAATCGAACAACTATATAGACTATATGCTACATACATATATATATATATATAAAGCTATATACACTGACAACAATGAAAACAAGAACATCAAGAAAAGACAACACGTAATATTATTGTGAATGTATTTTGAATAAATCTTGGCTGCACTTCTCAGTGCACTGAAAAAAAAAGCTTAAACTTTTTGTTTTTTTTTTTGTAAGCTCATGTTGAAAATCTATGAATGAATAAGTGGAATAGCTTAAAAATTGGATGGTATAATAGAACAGATTGGCTAGGACCTGACTTCTAATCTAACGGATTTAAAATTTCACTCTAATTAAAAAAAAAAAAAAAAAAAAAAAAAATTCAAATTTGAGATTAAAATTAAATATTTCAACTGGTATTATTCCCAATGAGTATTATGATTAGGTCATCAAAAAGCGAAACGTAGTCGGGCTGACTATCTTCTATAATTTATCTCCTATATTTTATTATTTACATTCTATCTCATCTATCTTCTATCTCATGTTTACGTATCTTAACTGTTACTTTCCCTCGCCCATCCTCCATTCCTACGTTGCCTCTTCCACCATCGATCTTAAATATTCCATCCTACGTTTTACCGCTTCCATGTAGCTCTACCTCAATAGAAAATTTTACTATATATTGCATCAGCTATATTCTAACACCTCTATAAAGCTTAAAACAAATACAAAGTCAAAAATATTTTTGTTATGTGTTTATTCGCGAATTATGGACAAAAATGAACGAACATTGGTTTATTTTGTTTTTCTTTTTAGCTATTTTGTATATAGCGTACATGGAATACATGGAATATTTATAATATATGTATATGTAGAGTCTTAAAATCTAATTCTGAAATATGTGTAAATACAGATTCACGTTTTCATTTTGTTTTGGCCTTTGTCAATGTTTTGCAGTTGATGCATTTTTTTTACAGCAAGTGGGTGAGGGAATTATACATATAGAAAGAGGTAGAGAGAAAGAGCAGGAGTTACATACATGGGGTTACGCTCATGCAAAATTGATTCCATAATTTAAAATTAATCACTAAGTTGAGGTCAAGAAAAATATGTAAGCCAACAGAGAGAGAGAGGGAGTGCGTTAGTTTGTGGATGACAAGGAAAGGACCCTCTCTAGAGAGAGGGAGACAAAGATAGTTACATTTAGAGCGCTTATTAAACTATGTGTGTGTTTTTTTTTTTAATAGTTAACATTTAGAGTTTGCTAATTGGCAGCCAGATTAAAATTATATCAAATAATAATGATTTTAATCGCTGGCTGAATCACTGGCTGCGACCACATTGGCCGCATTGTTCTCGAAGCACTGCCAAATGGTGCGTGCCGCTGGACGATCCTCGCTGTGGGCATTGGTGCACAAGTAGAACAGCTCGACAACACAATTGTAATCGTCGCTCAGCTGGAATGCCACGGGCAATGGTGGTCGTGTGCCATACGCCTGCTCCACATGACTGAGCGAATAGTCGGAGATGTCATTCTCTTTGGTATCATCCTCGTCGGTGTCCACAAGGGCATCGGCCGCAGCATTAACATCCTTAGCGCTGCCATCTAGATCGGTGACGCTCATGTTTCCCTCATCTGTGTAGTTTAACTGGCGGCGCTGCTCCTGCGAGTTTTCCAAGTCAATGATGGAGCTGCTATTGAAGGCGGCGTCCAGTTCCAGCGTGTGTGGCGGCACCAGGGCCAGTGTCTCATAGATGATCAGGCCGAAACTAAAGATATCTGCTTTGCTATCAATAATATCCACCTCGTCCATTATCTCTGGCGGGGACCACAATTGAGTGCCTGTTCGCAATACAAATATATATTAAAAGTAAACAATATATTATGTATATTCATATATATAGCTAATGCAGCTAGTCCACCTACCCACATATTGCAGCTGGGGATTCTTGTGAAAGTTTATCTCGCCATTCTCGTCCAGGGGCAGGCTAACGCCAAAATCACATAATTTACAGATCTCGAATTCGCCCTTGACCAGGACATTGAAGGACTTCAGATCGCCGTGCAGCAGACGCGCCTCGGTGTGCAAAAAGTCCAGAGCATGAGCAATGTCCATGATCATTTTGAAAGTATGTTTGGCGGGCAGCGGTCCGAGATCCTCATCGTGGCGTTCTTCCAATATGGAGCCCAGCGATGTGCTGCACATTTCCAAGGCCAGTGCATCGACGCCCTCCGACGATTTAATCACGCCACGAAACCCGACTATGTTTGGGTGGTTCAGTTTGCTGTGTGTAAACATAAGAGACATGTATTTATGTTGTATACATTTGGGTGTGTGTGTGTGCAGGTAGGTATATTAAAATACTATATTGCACCCAGTTGGAAATTTGATGCATTCCCTATTTAATGTAAACATAACTGTCTGCCAGTTGTACTTGAGAATGGATCATATAACGGCGATATTACCACATAGGCAGTTGTCGGATGAATAGAATATTTAGCATTAGAGAGAGTTCTATATTTGTATATCCTAAATCCGAGGACATGCCATTTAGTAGGTGGACATATATTGAAGCTGTTGAATGTCATTTGATCATGACAACGAAGAGATTTTGTTCATCTAAGGCCATCTCTTGCAGGATGCACAGATAGAATTCTGCATCAAATTTGCTACTGGGCATGGGACCGCAATTGTGTACACCAAATGCACGCACACATGAGCGACGCAGCAGCCACACACGCATATGCACACGCATGCATTCGCAAACACACACAAACACTCGCGCGTATAGCCAACGGCTCGCCCACGTGTGTGTACATGCGTGCAAGTGTGTGAGCGGGTGTGTGTATGCACGCACGTGTGTGTGTGTAGTATACAGCATTAGTTGGAAAATACATATGCATATGTGCAATCAGGCCATCGAAAAATGAAAACGGTGCAAGGAGTTGGGACTCACCGCAAAATGGCTGCTTCGTGTATGATGCGTTCATTGAACAGCGTATCCTTTTTGGCCCTGGTGCGCTGTGTGATGCGTTTGACCGCCCACGGTGAACGTATGCGGCCCAGCTTTGGTGACCTATCCAGGCGATAGACACTAACACCGGTGCCATGACCAAGTGTTTTCAGCATCGGTGATGGTGGTATTCGGATCGGTGTGCTATTGTTTTGCACATTCTCCATATGCAGGTTGCGCAGTTTGCGACGCGGTGTATCCATTGTCCTTCTATGCAATCGCCTGTTACGGTCCACAAAGATCGGCAGATATTTGTGAAATGTAGCAAAACAACTTTGATATCTAATGTGACGCGCACAAAAATGCCGTTTAATTGAAAAGTAGGGATGGCTAGAAATTTGCTATCGATTGGCAACAGTAATTGTCAAAATGATATTTACTGCTATTGCGGGTAATCAGCAGGTCGAATAGAATGCGATGTTTTTTTAAACGCTTGTTTTTAAATCGGTGACATTTTCAACATGAAGTACACGAACTATTCAAAGCTTGGGGGCTTGCAAATATAATGAGACCGGCACATTTTTGTTGATTATTGCTGTGTTTTAAAATATTGCGTAGCGATATTTGAATTGGTCAGCTATATCGATATGTTTTATTACGCATCCGTTAAAGTCATTGCATAACGGTTGGAATATTTGTTCAAAATGTTGTACAGCAGACAATCAAATAATCCAACGTGATGCTTAAACTTTAATGACAGCTTGGCAGAAATATTTTAAGAGTTACTTGGATATAGGAGAGTTTGTTAAAAAAGCTTAGCTGAAGATTACAGGCTCTCTGATAGTGAAAAAAAATGGATTATATCAAATCTACGTTCAAATAGCTGCATTTTCTATTCTCAGGAATGTTTAGAAAATAGTCACAATATAGGTCGACGTATACTATTAACAAATAGTTGAAGTCGAATAATTGGACATTATTTAATCCGCAACAAGCCACTTTCAAAGTTCATCGATACCTGTTGCTTATATCTTGAATCGATTACACAGTAGCTTTTCAAACTCCAACCGCAACTGCTTATTGTTAAATCCTTGGCGCGAAAGCAAGCTATCAAATACTATCGATACTTGTTGCTTGCACTTATCGCGTATGCTCGTTTTAATGGCAGCTCCCTGTCTCTCTCGCTCTCTCTCTCACTCTCTCTATCTACCACATCCCAGCCCCGTATCATTATCGATACTTGTTGCTTGCGATTATCGTGTGTACCCGATTTGCTGTTGACATTTGTGGCTTTTCACACGGAGCTCCACAGTGCCGTTTGTAATTTATTTCATGTGAAAATTGTGTGCGCACTGCTACGTCTGAGCAAATGTGTCTCTTGCGTTTCCTGTTACATTCGCGTCCCACGCTGAGCCGCGTAAGTGAGACGGTGCACTAATATAAGTTTTCACCTTAATTAGCTATATTGGATTTCAATTTACAGTACCTACCCGATAAGGCGGCCAGCTCGACGACAGCTCGGCGAACGCCCACGCCCAGGCCTCCGCCCACACAGGAAGTGCAACGCAAGCTCAATTTAGTGATAGGCAATGAGTCGTGCGATTTGGACTCGGCTGTCTCAGCATTGACGCTCGCCTTCATCTATGCGGGCAGGCAGAAGGACCAGGACTTTGTGCCTGTATTGAATATACCACGGATCGATTATCCTCTCAAAACGGAGGTGTGTCACATGTTCCAAAAGTGTCAAATCACTCCAGAAATGCTCGTCTTTCGCGACGATCTCCCAGAGAAGTTGACTAATCCGGATATTAATGTCATCCTGGTCGATCATCACGTCAACAGCTGGGCAGCGAATGTCGGTGAGATTCTCGACCACAGACCGATGGAGAAACATCCAGCAGTAAGTCATTTGCCGGTGCACTGTGTGCGTCACATCGAACCGGAGCTGGGCTCCTGCGCCACACTCGTGGGTGAACGTTACATGGCTGAGCAGGAGCCGCGCTCCGCGTATGTCACTAAATTGCTGCACGCGACAATTGTGCTCGACACCATCAACTTTTCACCAACCGCGAAGCGTTTCTGTGCCCGCGATTTGGCAATGGTCGAGCAGCTGGAGCAGCTGCAGAGGGAGGACTTGGACGATGGCGAGCGCAAGCGTTTGCGTTGTCAGCTCTTCGATGAGCTAGTGGCAGCGCGTGCGGACATCAGCAAGTTGAGTCTCGTCGAGGTCCTGCGCAAGGACATGAAGCGCCTGCAAACGGAGCGTCACATGGTGCCCATGGCCGGGCTGCCCATGTTGGCACGCGACTTCATCGATCTGCCCGACGCCGAGAATGCCATACGCCAGTTCGGCTGCGGCACCAATCTCCTGGTCCTGCTAGGCATGTACGTGCCGCCGGTCAAGGGCGGCCAGGTGATGCGCGACGTGGCCCTCATCTCGCTATCCGGACACGCCCCGCTGGTGGAGCGTGTACGTCAGGCCTTGCTAGCATGCGCGACGCCCCCGCTCGACCTGCGCCCGCACGCAATCGACACCAATTTCATGGGCGGCAGCTTCCTGAGGCAGCACAACGTGCAGGCCACCAGGAAGCACATCTTGCCGGTGATCAAGCGCGTCCTGCTGGAGTTGGAGGCATCGCAGCACTGCGACTGCGATGACGTTTACTTCTTCAAGGAGAAACCCAAACTGGGCCTCTCCTAAGCAAGCACACAGATAGTACAGTGGAGACTGCCTAGCAAGTACAAAAAAAAAAAAAAAGCAAAAAAAAAAAAAAAAAAAGAAAAGAAACCAAAATCAAACCAGCTAGAAGGAAGACGAAAGATTTACTTGTAAGTGGATTTCGTATCCGTTAAACGAATTCAATGCAATTCCAATTGAATCTGATATCGATTTGAAAGTCCAATTTGAAACCAATTGAATCAGATATCACAAATCAAACGAATAACTAAACCAAAACTTATTTATTGTATTAGCAAATAACAAAAAACAAAAGAAACAAAATCAAATCAAAAGGCAAACATAAATGGGAGCTCGAATTCGAATTCGATCTGTAAACCCAAATAGCATGCGATTCCCAGCTGGATTGGAATTCAATTCCAATTTGCAAATCAATGTAAACAAATATCCAATCAAACTGCATATCCAATTGGATGCAAATTGAAGTCGAGACTTGAGATTTCCAACAGTTAGTCAAGTATAAAACAAATTGAAGCGAGCTTCTAAAACGCAAAACCCAATTGGACCGAATTCCAATTGGTCTAGGATAAGAGGATTTTCTGAAATCCAATAATTAGTTAAATAGAAAGAAAATTAAAAGTAAAATCCAAACCCATTGCATAGACTTCCAATTGATGAACGCGATTCCAATTGGCATTTATATAAAACTAAAGCATGAGCAGATGGAACTCTAAATTCTAAATGTAAACTCAGTAGGAATGCACTTTAGATATCCAATTGAATGATATATTATTGTCGTAAAGACCAATTAAATGTGATTCAACTAATATCTAAATGAACAAGAAATATGAATCATCCAATTGAAAGAAAAATTCCAGCTGTAAGACCAATTTTATGTGATTTTAGTTAGTTTTTAATCTGTGAAATTTGTGATTTTGTTTGTATTTTGTATAATTCAAGAATAATTAAATTCTTTGTATTTTGTTTTGTTTTGTGTAATATAATCTAAGTTGAATCTGTTGTTTATTTTCACATATTTCCAATCAGTCGCAAAACTGAATTCTCATTCATCTCTTTCTCTCTCTCTCTCTCTGTCTCCCCCTCTCTCTCTCTCTCTCTTCAGCTACACATGAAGAGCCGCATTTATTCTATATGTAAATCGAATTTATATATACATATATATACTAATTTTACAGTTAAGTTATTCCAGCTGAACAACATGTAATATATAAATAAGAGCTATAAGCTTTGCCGATTGGAATTATAAAGATTTCATGGAATTGGCAGCTAGCACTATTTCTATTGCAAGCTGATAAGACTCGGAATTCTAATGAAGTCTAATCGGATATACTACATGCATACAGACATGTTGCACGTCCAGCTTGTTTGAAGTAGAGCTGCTTATTGGCAATTTACTCTTAGCTAATTGGATCATTTAACAGCCCAATCGGATATGCCAGAGGAAATCAAACTAGTTAATGTAAACACTAACTGAAATCTCACTTTTTAACCAGATATATGTATATACATATATACATTAATCTGTTTAGAGTTCCGTTATGACTTAGAATTAAATCCAAAGTAAAATCAAATTGTCGAATGTTATTGTTTGTTTTATTCCAACAAATTATATATATATGTATATATATAAATATGTATGTATAGATCTATATATAAATATATATGTATGCGTGCGTGTGTGTAAATACATAATAAAAAAGAGAAAAGTTAACTACAGTTTTTCTTTAGCTGTGGCTCCGCTTCCTGTTCGCTTGCAGCAGAAGCTTCGGCCGCTACCTGCTCCCACTGCCCCATCTTGACCTACTCCTCTTCCCTCTCTGCCTTTCTCTTGCTCTTCGTTGGCTTGAGCTGCTCTTCTATCACCTTCGCCTGCTGCTTCTCCTCCAGCTTCCGCCTTCCTTCTCTCTTAACAGTATTTACAGTTCTGCCTCCTTCTCCCCATCTTCCACGCCACGCCTTAGCCCTTCTTCTGCATGCTGCTTCATCTCTTTGCGTTTCTTCCACAACTTTAGCTAACAAATCCTTTCCATCATCTATGTCTATAGCTGCGGCTGCGCTTCCTCCTCCTCCGTATCCTGTTGCTCCTCGCCCATTTCATCGTCCGCACACTCCAGCGTCATGTCCTCGAGCATCTCGGCCAGCGTGATCTGCGGCACATCCGTCGCGCTCTGCAGCGCCTCAATGGGCAGCGTCTTCTTGCTATCGCGATAGACATTGATCTGTCCACGTATATCGGGGTTCTCCTCGATGTCGTCGAGGAACTCGTGATAGTCATATTTGCTGCGCTCGTCCGTCGCCTCATCCGCCAGATGCTTGAGCTTCCACAGGCGTTGGCTGAGACGCGTCTGCCGATCGTAATGCTTGCGCACGAGCACAACATCCGGAATGAGGTTCGGAGTCAGCTTATCGAACTCTGGATTATTGATGTTCGCCTCGGCCGTATTGTAGCCCATCACCGAATCGCCCACCTTCAGCACGTGGCCCAGATGGGAGCGTGTATGTACGGGATTGTCGTTGATACCCAGCTCCGAGGAGCGCACCACCCAAATGTCGCAGAGGGCGTGCTTGAAGGAGACCATGCCCTGGCCCGGATACGTCTTGCGATCCTTATCGTGTATCACATCGATGTCCATGACAATGTACTCGACCAGTTGCTTGGGATTGCAAATAGCCTCGAACGGAGCACGGAAATAGACCTGACTGTTGACCTCGGCGATCTGAGCCGTCAGCGGATCAATCAGGTGAATGCTGCTCGAGACCCGATTCACCAGACACACGGGCGAGATGTTGCCCAGCTGCTGGCGCAGCTTCTTCGTGAGGCAGACGGCGCTGTCCTTCGATATCGGCGCAATCTCCACCGACCAATTGTATTTGTAGTTGTAGTTGTTGCTGTGTATGTCGTGTGAGATTAGGCGCTTCGACGTGGTCACCTTGACAGGAACCATTGTCTGCAGGAAATCAACCATGCGCCTGGCATGATTCTCGCTCACATAGTAAAAGTCGAGGCCGCCGTGCTCGGGCTTGATGCCCAGTGTGTTCTCGTGTGCCTTATATTTGAGTATCAACTGCTCCAGGTAGTAGAAGGTCTTCTTGTTCTCGGCCCGTTGACGCACTTGCACCAGGCAGCGCCAAAAGTCTTTGGCCTCTGTGCGATGACAATCGGTGCACATTTGATTCTGCACCGTAAATTCAACAATGAAGACCTGCTGCAGCACTGTGCCTCCAGAGATTTCGCCATGCACCGTCAGCTTGACCTTGATGCGCTTTGAGTGCTGTTCCGTCCATATGAAGCCTGCATCGACCAGTTTCACCTCCTTCAATCCTTTCAGTTTCTTCAGGCAAATGGCCAGCAGCTCCCTGGACTCGAGTGAGGCCTGTATCCACTCATTGGGCGGCTGCAAGTAACGCTCGCAGTTGCGACAGAAGTGCAGCACCGCCTGTTTCGGTATATTCTCTGTGATATCCACATGATTTCGCAAACATGTTACGCACATATTCGCAGGATTTGGCTGTATGGCGACGCCGCATTCGCAGCACAGGATCATTGCATTGCTGTTGATATTGTCGGCGCCCAGCTCGCTGACGCCGGTGTAATTATCGTGCTCCATCTGGCACGTTTAATATTGCGTCTTGAGATTTATTCTTATTCCAAATAGAATAACAAAAACACGTGCAACCTAGTGAATTTCACAGCGACGTACAATCGGTGTTGCTGCCTGCGCGTTGGCATGAAATACCAATAATACTAAAACTTGTACAACTACCAAAAATACTGTTAACATTAACATTTCGTAAGTCAGCTTTGTATATTTTACATTTGTACATAACTTGAATTGTAATTGTTTAGTTTATCATCTGTAAATAATAAATATAGTATTTCATCAAACCAAAGCATTAATTTTACGTAAAATTTGGAAAAATAAATTGGTATTTAGTATTTGGTATCCGATATACAACGCATCGGAAAACGTAAATTAGTATTTAAATATTTAAGAACTATTGGTAAAACATCGAAATAATAGTTTTTTATTAAGTATTGACTAATTAAAAGAACATATTCTGAAACTTGTTTGAAAGGAGAAAACAAAAATTGTGTCAGCATATATTGACTGTAATCGCTTTGGCGCCAACATTCCCAATTCAACACAGTAAGCAATCAATCTCGATAGCACAAATATCGATATACAGTGCAATTGCACTTACTAGTTCGATCTCCGTATGCTCACTCGATAAATCAATAAAGAACAATGCAAATTTGTAGTCCATCCCCGTTGTGGACATTTGGACCTTTGTTTCGCGTCTTATCTTAAAGCCCCTCCATCCTAAAATCAACTGCTGATCAACACCAAGTAAGCAGTTACGTAGCAAAATGTCGTTGCGTCCGCTTGTGGAGGGCGATTGTGGCGGTGTCAATCCATTGATGCAGTTGGGTGGGCAATTCACCCGTGATGTTGCACATAAGGACGAAGGTTTTGCTCCTGCGCAGTTCGAGCGCAGCTTGCGCCCAGACGAGCAACTAGTTAACGACTTTCTAGGTCAAGTAGCTGGCCCACCGCAGTCCTTTCAAATGGATACACTGCTACAAGAGATGCGCGGAGTAAACATCCATGGACCACCACAACAGCATAGTGAAATGGCCAATCAATGGGGACGGGATTTTATGCAACAGCAGCAACAGCAACAACACCAGCCAAACAAAACGGTGCAGATACCGCAGCCTATGCAGTCGCAAGACTTCTTTGACGAAACGATGATCTGCACCCAAAACTTTATGCCAAACCAAATGATGCGCCAGCCATACCTTGCCATCACAGCTGGATCTCAGCAACATCAACCTCAGCAGCAACAGCACGATGCTTTCTTCGACGAGAACGTCGAGACGATCATTACTGACAATCTGCCAAGGGTGGAAACTTACGCAGAGTCTCTCGAGGATTGGATCAGTGACTATCAGCGCAACAAGGAGCTCAACGAGCAGCAAACGACAAATTTTAATGAAAAATTCTGGCAGCGTCTGCAGGACGAATGGCAAAAGTTGGCTGAGGAGAACGAACATCCCTGGCTCTCCGAATTTAATGAGAATCTGGACGCCTACAAGGAGTATGAATTTGCCGAACAAAATCCGATGACCGAGCTGGATAATGCTTTTGAGAAGGGCAAGGAGTACTTGAACAAGGGCGACATACCTAGCGCCGTGCTCTGCTTTGAGGTTGCCGTCAAGAAGGAACCGCAACGGGCCGAAATCTGGCAGCTATTGGGCGTCTCTCAGGCCGAAAACGAAATGGATCCACAGGCGATTGCGGCGCTCAAGAAGGCTCTGGAACTTCAGCCGGATAATCGCCCGGTGCTGATGGCCCTGGCCGTATGCTATACCAACGAAGGCTTGCAAAGCAATGCCGTAAAAATGCTGTCCAACTGGCTGGAGGTACATCCGCAGTATAAACACCTGTTGTCCGCTTACCCGCAGCTGCAGTCGGAGACGCTCACCATGGCCTCCTCGCTGATTGGGGGCAACAAGCTGCGCGATCTGCAGCAGGTCTACCTGGAGGCAGTGCGCATGCAGCCCGCCCAAGTGGACTCCGATTTGCAGGAGGCACTCGGTGTCCTCTACAATTTATCCGGCGAATTTGACAAGGCTGTCGACTGTTATAGGGCGGCCGTGCATGTGGATCCTCAGAATGCCAAGCTTTGGAATCGTTTAGGCGCCAGCCTGGCCAACGGCTCACGATCTGTGGAGGCGGTCGAGGCATATCAACAGGCGCTGCAGCTGCAGCCAGGATTCATACGTGTGCGCTACAACGTCGGCGTCTGCTGCATGAATCTGAAAGCATACAAGGAGGCGGCCGAGCACCTAATTACGGCGCTTACCATGCAGGCCCACACGAATGCCTCTAGAGAGTTACCGAACGCTCAGGCCATCGGCCAAAATCAGATGTCCGAGTCGATCTGGAGCACGCTCAAAATGGTCATATCCCTGATGGGGCGAAGCGATCTGCAGGGTCACATCAGCGATCGCAACTTGTCAGCACTCAACGAAGCCTTCAAGGATTAGGCTGCAGCAGTTGGTGTCCGGTGAATAAATTGAAAACGGCATGCATTCCTCCCAACGTCCTTCCATTTAAATTGTTGTTTGGCTATTGTGCTTTTAGTGTATTTCTCTAAATGTTTGGATTCTAGATGTTACAATTAAATTGTTATCGTTCGATCAATCAAAAGAAATTGTATTGAAAAGTGGAACTATGTGTTTTACTTATAATAGTTGTATAGATCAAATTTTCATATAGATGCATTTGTATGTACATCCTGTCTTTGCGGTGCTGCATCATTGGGAGCACATTTGGTTCTGTAGAAAGGAAAGGGCATGGTTAGCAATGGCTTCATGGTATATTGGCCAGACGCTTGTAGTCAATCTTGTCTAGCTGCACCAGCGGTTTCAACTGCTCTGCAAACACGCGCATCTCCTCGCCCACATTCTCCTGGCCCGTGGGCGCCACCACAGACAGTTCGACAATGTAGCTCTGCGAGATGGGCTCGTTGGCCATGTCCTGTTGCTTGCCGGGCACAATTTTGATCAGCTTCGAGACGGTTATCTTCATGCGACCCTTGCGAAACATGTAGCCTGCCCAGAATTTGTAGATCATTAGCTTTTGAGCCGCTTATTCTAGATTCATTTGAGACCAACCTTTTGCTATATATTCGAACTCAAGGCGGAACCCCATTTCGGATAGGAAGTCAAGTATGCCGTTGGTGCAGGCGCAGTCCATGCAGCTGCGCACTAGCGTCGGTCGTCGCATATCCACCTCCGGCTGGCCCAAATATCGCAGCTGGAACGGCGCATCGCGTCCCAGTGCGCGTCTCACGCGGAGGAGTAGCACGGGCTGAGGTGAATTCGGCTGACGCAGACTCATGCACACCTCGAGATCATGAAACGTCTCCGGCGAGGTATCCACATTATCACATAGGCCCTTCAATCTGCAAATGTAATTTCCGTTAATATCAGATTTAAGCCGGGTTTTTGTATTAATTTTACCTGTGCATCAAATGCTCAACGGCTGTGTCCAATATGGAGCCTTGTAGTAAATACTCCAGATTTGGCAGAAAGCGGTTTTTCAGGGCAAGCGAAAGCGATTCCGTTGCTGATGGTATAGCCATATTTCAATAGTAATTTTAATATCAAATTTCAATAAACAAGATCGAGGTTTGTTTATGTTATGCCGTGTTGTTGTATCGCAATATTGCCAAACATTAATCGGTATATCGATATGAGCTAGCTGTAGCCATGGTCAAATATAAGAAGGTTACGCTGTGTCAGACTTTCGATAGGTCTGCGATAGTTTTAACTGTCGACAAATTGGATATTGTATTTATTCAAAAATCACTATTCCATATTTATGCACTTTCAGGAATTAATACATAAATTTGAATTTCTTCTGAAGTTGGTCTCATTTATTACCTTTCTCATGGCGAATATAATGAATTACTTCATCTGTGCATATATGACGTAGATGCGCAGAACCAAAACGCCTTCTGTTTTGCATTGCATATATTTTTGTGGCGTTATCTTATGCGATAATTCTTGAGTGACTTGGCTGCGGGTGGGGTTGCCAGCTGAAGAAGTTTGCATGCAGATAAGGATGCCAGACGCAAAAAAACGAACACCCACATATCGTCGCAATTACAATTATTATTATTGTTGTCTAACAACGTCGACAGATGTGTGAGTGTGAACATTAGCCAACTAAATGGCCAAACTAACGCAATACAAATTGCCAACGAGTTCTTTTCGATTGCTCTGCCATAGCGGTAGCTAATAGCTGTTCGGGCTCTTCAATTACACAGAAAGTTACGTGAACAACAACAGCAGCAACAACAACAACAGCAGCAGCAACAACAAACAAAACAAAAAAAAAAAAAGAAAGAAGAGAAGACACCCAATTGTAACATACATATATGGATATGTGCACACATGCAAATGCCAACATAACACAGTGAGATGACATCGGACGGCTACAACAATAATAATAGCAACAACAAGAACAACGGCATCTACACAAACCAGCTGCAATGAACGTAAAGAAAAGGCCACGTCTGGAGCTGGCCACAGCTGCAACACCAACGGCTGCAACAGACGTTGCATATGCTACATATAGTAACGGGAATGGTGCTGGCACGGCAACAAACGGTATTTTTCTAGCGAGCGGCGTGGACGTGAACAATGGTGCACAAATCTATTTAACCATATGCGGTGACGATGACAATTCGAATGAATCTCAGGAGTTTTATGCCATCGAGAGCATTAAACAGGAACCAGATTTGGATGCGCTGCACGCGCTGCTGCCAACAAATCTGCAGCTGCCAACGGGTTGTGAAATCTATTTAGTTAAAGACACCACCACCACGACGACCACAAGTCCCAAGGCGCACGAGCAATTGTTGCAGAAGCAACACCAGCACCAGCACCAGCAGCAAAACCAACACCAACAGCAGCATGCACAACCATTGGCTTCCATTAAACTGGAGCCGGACTCCATTGCCACACCGTCCACGAACGTGCTGTACGTTAGTGGCAGCGGTGCAACAACGACCACGCACAACATTGTTGTTGCTGCCAGCAAAGATTCACCAGGCAGCGCCTGTGGCAGCGGCAGCGGCAGCAGCAGCTCCTCTTTACCAGTGGCCAGCCATGCCGCAGCAGCAGCAGTTCCAGCCATAGCTTCAGCTGGCTATAATGTTAAGATGGATGCGTTTAAGAAGCGCGACGACAAGCGCCGCGCCACACACAACGAGGTGGAGCGCCGGCGTCGTGATAAAATCAATTGCTGGATCTTCAAGCTGAAGGAGATGCTGCCAACGGAGGGCAATCGCTACAAGCCAATGGCCGAAACGTTGGACAGCAAAGCGGCCAGCATGCGGAATAATCAGCAGCAGCAGCAGAATGGACGCACACCACCCAACGATTCCAAGTCTCAAATATTAATCAAGGCCTGTGACTACATCAAGAGTATGCAAAATGAGATAGACAGGTGAGTAAATGGAGCTCATATATAAACATATATGTATGTATATAGATACACCGTTAATCATTTATCTTTTGCAGTCTGCGCGATTGTTTGCAGGAAGCGGAACATTTGCGTTTAAGCAATCAGGCGCTGCGTGATGAATTGGAAACGTTGAAGCAGCAACAGGAGCTGCAGGAGCGTTTCAATACCGCTGGCGGCTCATTCAACGTAACGCTTAACTCCCTCAATAGCTCAGCTACTAGTGACCTCTTCGATAATATGGATGGGGCGGCCAATCTCTCAGCGGTCTCGTCGATTAACTTTACCAAACGGGGCCTAATGATCAGCGACTACGATGAGTAGAGCCGAGAACCCAAAAACAAACAAACAAACAAACCAAAGAAGAGATAATAGCAAATTTATATACATACATACAGACAGACAGACATATA